AGGGTTTTGGGGACAGAGACGAAGTGCAAAATTAGGGTTTAAGGAAGCCACAAGCTTTTTATTTACAACTACAACAAGTAGTGCTCCGGATTTTTTAATCTCTTCGGTTGACGAATTTTGAATTAAAAAAGAATTAAATCGTTGTGAGAGGATATTTTCTGTACCGGTTCTGTTATCGATCGCACCAAACCGGTTAAGATTTTATCCGTCCGGTTCGCTTGATTGAATAGAATATTCAAATATAAGTGAATGATCAAACTCACTGAAACAAAATAAACTAGAAACATACAATTATGCGAAAATATTGTTTCATTATTGAGTTTCTAAACCAGTTTTTAATTTCCACAAAGTTAAAAGAGTAATTAAGATCACTTGGTATCATTGTTTCCTGTAGTAACGGGTGGCCAAGGCGCTCCAGCCATCACAGCTTCGATCTCCCATGTCTCCCGCGGAACATTTGTCATGTTCTTGCACCCATTCGCAGTTACGACCTACACAAAATCACACAGATACAACAAGAAAAATGAGACATTATTGTATATATAAACATTTACTCTTAAGGGGGTTTTAAACGTTATATAAGAGTGAATATATTTATATATCTTTACCAAATCGCTTTCGATTCTGACCCCTCCGAGATTCTTAAATCTCTCTATTGTTTCACGGTTGAAGAACTTTGAGGTTTTTGCGTTTTCCATGGCTGGGATCAGCAATGCCTTAATAAAATAGCATCCTGGTTCCACCGTTATTACCTGCATACATACCATTAGGAACGATCTAAACAACCAAAAGCATTTTACTTGAAACAATTAGAGCCCTTACCATTCCTTCAAGGAGGTCTCTTGCAGTGCGTAATGACTTCAATCCCGGTTCTTTTGGTCTTTCCACTCCCTTAAAGAAGAAAAAAATAAAGCAACGGGTAAGAAACGAGGACTGTAGTTTCATGTTAATGAGGATACTATTGGGTGAAAAAAAGATATGATGTACCATAGGGTAACCACCAGTATCGTGTGTGTCAATGCCCATGAAGTGACCTAGTCCATGAGGCATGAAAACAGCACCCAAGCGTTCTACCATCATCTCGTCTACATCACTATGAACAGAGACGAAAACCGTAACAATGACATATAGTTCTAGGGAAGAGTGAACAAAGTTGTGCATAAACAAATGTCTA